TCCGTTGTCTTGAGGTTTTTATCTCTCCCTTGCAGGAGGGAATATTGGGGGTGGGGGGGTTTCAGGGCAGGGTTTTAGCAAAATAGTCATCCGTTTTCTAGGTGTGCTCCTTCAGCATCATGGTCTCCACCGATTGGTCAGTGTCAGGGCAGGGGGTCATTAGTCACTGCAGCTGGTCCTGGTGTCGCACACCTGGTGTGACTGCTTTTCTGGGCCTGGAGCTGGAATATGCTGAGGCCTGGATGTTCTCTCTCAGGAGGTGATCTTCTGGATCTGCTGTAAATTGCTCGGCCAGTTTGTTTAGCTGTCTGTCTGTTTCCTGTTCCACTTGTCCTGGTTTGCTGGCCTGTCTCAAGGCGACATTCAGTGTTTCTTGAGTAAGATACTTTTCTCTTTGTTATTAAATATGTATTCTGTATGAAAATACTTTGAGATTAGGTCAATATCCTGCTCCCCAACAAAATTCCACCCAATAATATTTAATTTTATTGATTTCAGAGAAGAAGGGAGAGGGAGAGAGAGACAGAAACATCAATGATGAGAGAGAATCATTGATTGCCTTCCGCATGCCCTCTACTGGGGGTCGAGCCTGCAACCTGGGCATGTACCCTTGACCAGAATTGAACTTGGGACCCATCAGTCTGTTGGCTGACACTTTATCCACTGAGCCAAACTGGCCAGGGCTCTACCCAATAATTTTTAGCATTTATTGTTGATTATTGCCTGGGCCAATTAATGCTATGATAATTACAAAAAAGTGATTTCTCTAACTGCTATTGGGTAGCTGGAATTGTTGGATCATATGGAAAGATTTTTTTCTTCTAATTAGTTTTATTGTGGTAAAATACACAAAACATAAAATTGACAATTTTAACCATTTTAAATGTACTGTTCAGTGGCATTAAATCCATTCACATTAGATTTTTTATTATTATTAACTAGAGTCCTGATACACGAAATTCGTGCATGGGTAGGGTCCCTAGGCCTGGCCAGTGATCAGGGCCGATCTGTGGGGCGACCGGTGGAGCAATTGGGGGGCAGGGAGCCCTGCTGGCACCCGCCTTGGCTGACCTGGGGCCTGCAGGCTGGGGGCAGCTCCTGCGTTGAGCATCTGTCCCCTGGTGGTCAGTGCACGTCATAGCGACCCATCATTCCACTGGCCGTTCGGCCATTCAGTCAATTTGCTTATTAGGCTTTTATTATATAGGATTTCAGAGAAGAATGGAGAGGGAGAGAGAGAGAGAAACATCAATGATGAGAGAGAATCACTGATCAGCTGCCTCCTGCTCACCCCCTACTGGAGATCAAGCCTGAAACCCAGGCATGTGCCCTTGACCGGAATTGAACCACGGACCCTTCAGTCCGCAGGCGGACGCTCTATCCACTGAGTCAAACCGGCCAGGGCCATTCACATTGTTGTGTAACCATCTCCACCACCCATCACCAGAACTTTTCTTCTTGTAAAACTGAAACTGTACCCATTGAGCACTAACTGCCCCTCCCCCTTCCCAGGCCCTGGCCCCCACCATCTACTTCCTTTCTCTCTGATTTTAAGGTCATTCATCGCTGGTGCTCATGTAGCTCCAAGTTTGGCCAGCAGCAGCCCCTCAGGCTGGCTCCTGCATCTGTGTGACAGGTCCCCATCTTTCTCAGAGCACTTTCTTACTTTCTGACACACCAGTGTGTTCCAGGCTCTTGTACTCTCCCTGCCTCACTACCTTTTTTTTTTTTTTTTTAAGGGGATGATATTCAGAAGCCAAGATCTGGGTGTTTGATGCTCTCATTGCTATTGAGTAGTTTCAGTGGACAGAGTCAGGAAACAGATTTTTGTTTAAATCACAAGTCCAGCCCTGTAATGGTTCACAGGTCAATGCTCTCTCCACTGAGCCAAACCAGCGAGGGCCACACTGACACTTTCAGTCCTGCTCTTGGGGCTCTTCTGCATTCTCCCATTCCATTGTCACATCTTCTCCCTCAGTGAAGACCTGGCCCTTCCTATCAATACACCTGCTACTGTGCTCAGTCCCATAACACACATGATGGTTTCAGAATCACTACCCCCATATCCCACCCCCGAAAACAAATCTCCTACACAAAGTTCAAAATCTCTTCGCAGTTTCTTCTGTCTTCAGAGCAAGTACTGTGTCCAAAAATTGCATGGGCTGGTTCTCTTGTATTTCTGTGTGGTTTTGTTTTTCATTTGAAATGCAATTACGTTCATTTCTTTTCCATTTTATCCCATCTTAAAGCTCTTTTTCTTCATTCTTGTTGATTTAATTTCATTGTTGACTAACGGAGGCATTAACTGAGTTAAAAAAAAAAAACAATGTAAAGAGGGATGCTCAGAGGGTGTCATCCCTTCTTTTCAATTTCGATCCCCCCACAAGCCTCGTTGGTTTCTCTCCTGTGTTTGTTTTGCAAAAACAAGCAGATATGTGTAGATTTTATCTCCCTTCTTTATTACACAACTAGAGGCCTGGTGCACGAAATTCGTGCATTGGGGAAGAGGGGTCCCCTCAGCCCAGCCTGAACCCTCTCACAATCCAGGACCACTGGCTACTAACTGCTTGCCTGCCTGCCTGCCTGATTGCCCCTAACCACTTGCCTGCCTGCCTGGTTTCCCCTAACCACTCACCTGCCTTCCTGATCACCTCTAACTGCTCACCTGCCTGCCTGATCTCCCTTAATGCCTCTGCCTTGGCCCCCGCCATGGTGGCTTTCTCTGGAAGGATGTCCAGAGGGTTGTTTGGCTCTCAGGTCCAATTAACATATTACGCTTTTATTATTATAGATAAGTACCAAATGACCCAAGTGCTTCATACTTTTCCCCCAAATTGACAAGATGATCTGGAAGTCACTCTATTCATTCATAGCCGTTCTTTTTCATGGCTGTCCGGTGCTCCACTCTGGGTGCAGCATAATTTACCAGCCTGTCTCCTGTGCACAGGCATTTGGGGAGCTAATATTTTTTATTTACAAACAACAATAATAACCTTCTCTGTGTTAACTTGCATATTTTTAGAGCTGTGGCTTCAGGGCTGATGCTAGAGGGGGCTTGTTCTTACAGCACAGACATATATCATAAGATTAAATCAGGTATGATGTGTGTGTGCACGGCCTTTCTCCCAGGCAGCAAGTAATTCACGGGCGAGGTCGTTGCTGGACAGCTCTGCAGTGTTAGTCAAACTGCTCTCTCATGGCATTGCACTTTAGTCCTGGATTTGCGCTCTGGGCCAGGGATCGGGGGCCCAGCTGGGATTGGGGTTTAGTTGAGGTTGGGGCTCAACTAGAGTTGGGGCTCAGGGCTCAGTCCAGGGCTGGGCTCACTCAGAGTCATGGGTGAAGATCAGAATCAGCTTACGGCTCATCCAAGGTCAGGGGTCAGCCTGAGATCAAAGCTCAGTCTAGGATCGGAGCTCAACCTGGGACCAGGGCTCAGCCTGGGATTAGAGCTCCATCCAAGGACCAGCCTGACTGAGGATTCAATCCCGGGTACAGGCTGAGTCTCAGAACACGCAGTGTGTCCCGGTTAATGTGTGCACGTCAGCGGTCCCTGGTGAGGCCAGCACTGAGGCCAGCTGTCCTACTGCACAGGGCGGTACCTGGGAAAGACTCGGCCGCCTTTCCCACCCCACCCAGGCCTCAAACCGCAGCTGCCTACACAGCTTCCTGAGTGGCCCCTCTTCCCCAAACCTCCCTTTCAGATCCGTTATTGCTCAGTCACCTCTAGTGACAAGCTGCTACCACCTCCTCAGGCAGCACCTCAACCTGGGCTTCCCTGAAATGGTTCCGCTCCCACACTGAGTAGTGAGCCGTGGGAGAGGTGCTGGGCAGGAGCCACGGCCACCTGAATGCCCTCCCCGAGCTCCTGCCCACCCCACCTCCATGGGCACACGTGTGGGCCTGTCAGGGGAGCCTGCCTCCCCCTGGAGACCCCAGGGCAGGACTGTGCCTCGCCTCTTCAGGTTCCCCAGGGTCAGCTCTACTTCCCAACTTCTCACCCCGACTTGGTGCTCACACCTCAGTCCTCAGCCATCTCCAATTGGGTCAGTCTGAGCACAGTCAGGTGGACATGGGTGGGAATGGGGGTGGGGTGAGCCCCCATTTTTCCTGTGAGCCCCTCTCCCCAAAGGTGAGGGGTTGTCCTGGGTGGGGTTCCCTAGCTCTGCTCCTAGTAGGGCCAGCTCAGGGGACAGGAGAGACAACCAGCGGTGAAACTAAAAACTCTGCTAAGTGGGGTCCTGGCCTTGGAGAATCCTGTGTTTGTAGGTGGTCGCTTCCCACTGTGTGACCCTCGATAGCTGGTGCCACCTCTTCAGGCCTCGGTTTCCCTTTCTGTGGAGGGGTGGGCCACAGGTCTGTCTGGCCCTGTCATGGGGATAAAGTGGGGCACATCCGCACCTTCAGAAAAGTGGCCAACAGCGCCCTGACCGGTTTGGCTCAGTGGATAGAGCACCGGCCTCTGGACTGAAGGGTCCCAGGTTTGATTCCGATCAAGGGCATGTACCTTGGTTGTGGGCACATCCCCAGCAGGAGGTGTGCAGGAGGCAGCTGATCGATGCTTCTCTCTCATCGATGTTTCTAACTCTCTATCCCTTTCCCTTCCTCTCTGTAAAAAATCAATAAAATATATATTTTTTTAAAAAGTGGCCAGCGGTGCTCATGCTCATGTGTGTGCAGTCACTTGACACACACTTATTAAGCACCTACTGTGTGCCAGGCACAGTTGAAGCAGTTGGGAAGACAGTGAAGGCTAACTGGGTGCTGGAGGGAGTCACCTCGCTGGGCAGGGTGGCAAGTGCTTTTGGGTGGTGCATTTCCCCTCCCTCTGGGACCCCTACCCCCCTGGGCTTTCGAGGAACAGAAAGGGACGAAGGAGGGGGTCTTGCAGCAGGAGCAGCTGCAGCGCCCTCCAAGGACCTGAGGTGGGAGCGGACCGTTGGGATGCCCCTCCCCTCCCAGGCCTCACCCCCACTCTGGGGGTACCTCGAACATAACAGGAAATTTCAAATAACAGGAAACCAAGACCGGGCAAGGCAGCAGCTCCACCCTGCCCCGGGGCCAGCCACCCTGGGCCTCAGTCTGCCCTGGGGGACTGCAATGAATGCTACCGGGTCCCCAGCGAAGGCTTCTGACGCCTGCTGGCAGCTGGCGGCCAGTGGGCACAGCCAGCTCATCATCCTGCACTACAACCACTCCGGCCGGCTGGTGGGGCGGGCCACGCCAGAGGATGGGGGCCTGGGGGTCCTGCACGGGCTCTTCGTGGCCATGAGCTGTCTGGTGGTGCTGGAGAACCTGCTGGTGCTGATGGCCATCGTGACCCACATGCGGTCCCGGCGTTGGGTCTACTACTGCCTAGTCAACATCACGCTGAGTGATCTGCTCACCGGCTTGGCCTACCTGGTCAACGTCCTGCTGTCCGGGGCCCGCACCTTCCACCTGGCCCCGGCCCACTGGTTCCTGCGGGAGGGCGTGCTCTTCATGGCCCTGGCGGCGTCCACCTTCAGCCTGCTCTTCACCGCCGGCGAGCGCTTCGCCACCATGGTGCGGCCGGTGGCCGAGAGCGGGTACACCAAGAGGGGCCGCGTCCTGGGCTTCATCGGGCTGTGCTGGCTGCTGGCCGCCCTGCTGGGCCTGCTGCCCCTGCTGGGTTGGAACTGCGTGTGCTCCTTCCAGAGCTGCTCCAGCCTGCTCCCGCTCTACTCCAAGGCCTACATCCTCTTCTGCGTGGTCATCTTTGCCGGCATCCTGGCCACCATCATGGTGCTCTACGGGGCCATCTTCCGGGTGGTGCGGGCCACTGGGCAGAAGGCCTCGCGCCCCCCGTGCCGCCGCAAGGCCCGCCGGCTGCTCAACACGGTGCTCATGATCCTGGTGGCTTTCGTGGTCTGCTGGGGCCCCCTCTTCGGTCTGCTGCTGGCCGACATCTTTGGCTCCAACATCTGGGCGCAGGAGTACCTGAGGGGCATGGACTGGATCCTGGCGCTGGCTGTGCTGAACTCGGCGGTCAACCCGCTCATCTACTCCTTCCGCAGCCGGGAGGTGTGCCGGGCCGTGCTGGGCTTCCTCTGCTGCGGGTGTCTCCGGCTGGGCCTGCGAGGGCCTGGGGACTGCCTGGCCCGGGCCCTGGAGGCCCTTTCTGGAGCCT